TTAAGTTGTCTAGAACAATAATAAAGTAGTCTTTAAAAAATAAGTCTAATAATTTGAACATTCTATAGGCATTTATAGTTATTGACTTACCTCCTTACAGCCTGACACCCAAACAGCCTGATTAGCAGAAGAAGAAAAAATCTGCTTCTGCCTCCCAGCAATTTGCCTCGTGGAGCAAACAGCAAGTTTCATTTTCAGTTTAAGCGTGCCTCCTGATCATCAGCTGTTTCAGACTGTAGGGATTGCTATAGCCTATTGCAGCCTCTGCGAGCCTCATATTCCCTGTTTCCTGCAAGGAAGTAAATTGCTGGGAGGCAGAGGCCAAAGGGTGGGGGATGGTGGGTGGGTGAGGCTGCATTCAGTGTATAAGACATACCCAAATTTTCACCCTCTTTTAGGGGGGAAAAGGTGTGTCTTATACTCTGAAAAATACTGTAACTACTATGCCACTACTCCTTGGCTGAGTTGGCTCAGTGTATTTCTTGGCTTCCGGAAATCAGTTCACTGATGTAAACCCCTCTTATTTATATGTTGCCCTGGCTGAGCTCTACTTTTATGTTTAGACAGTACCGTCTTCTAGATGTTCCGAAAGTTGTTACCCAGGATATGCCAAGGTCATGAGAAAAGAAGCACCAGTTTGCTGCTACGACTGTTCTCTGTGTATGGATGGAACATTCTCTATGCGAGAAGGTAGGTGGCTAGAAAGAGAGCGAGAGAGAATTGATGATGCAATCAAAATTTATTCCTGCTTTTCTGGCTACATTTTTAAAGTTCTTTTCTTTCCTGCTAGTTATAGACCTAATTAATAGCATAGGATTTTTGTAATTCTATGAAGTAAGAAAAATGAAGGGTTCCACAAACTTTTCAAAGGTTGAGTACTATCACTCAATTTTGCCATTAAAATAAATAATGAAAAGCTGCTGTAATATCTCGAGTTGCTACTGTATCTTCTTACCTGGTTTCAGGAAAGAAGACAAGTCTTATGAGTATTGACCATGTCATTGATTTTCAGCCTTTATGATTGTTCCTAAATTAACGTTGGGTCCTATAAAATGTATCTGAAAGAAATATTGAATTGTTCCTATGCATGCTACCAAGGCAGGTGCCAGGGTTCCAAATAGCATCCTCCATCAAATAAGAATGTGAGGCTAGAGATTCCTCAAAATTCAAATTTATTAAAGAAGCCATATTGGCACATCTGGGAAAACCTGAATCTGAAAGCTTCCAGGTTTTCCACACCCAGTGGGAAGTTCAAGACCCTGCCCCAGCACCCACATGTCCATCACATGGCCCAATCAGTCACTGTCCCAAAGGAAGATTCCTCCCAGTGACACCCCTCCAGGTGCAGGGGCTAGATGACCTTGACTCTCTGAGAAGGAATGTTATTTTGGCTACATATCACCTATGCTCCATTCAACCCCCCCTCCCAGTTTCCCACAGTAGAATATGTTTGAATATGTGGCAAGACTTGAAGCCAAAGATGGGTTCCAAGCCTGACAGCAGCAACCACATCCCAGCAATAATTAAGTTATTTAAAGCCAACGTTCTAGACTTGTGACCCGATTCTTCAGATAGGATTTAAACAACAGTGTTGCCTGTCATTGTGATATGGGTCTCCCTGGTGGACAACAGAGTTCCAGCATGGGTCCTTATCTTGTCACAATCCAGACTTGGTGTCCTAAGAATCACACTCCATAATGAAAATGGAGATTTCCCACCCACCTATTTAGACATGAATGGTTATGATTAATATCACTTCAGTCCATATATTCAACAACTTTCTTCTACTTGTTGGAACAATCAAATGAGTGAACCTGGTATAACAGCCCAGAGAGCATCCCTTGCCATCATCAAATATGGGTCAGGGTTCCAAGTAACACCCCCCAATGAAAGAGGACTCCGAAGCTTGAGTTTCCTCAAAGTTCCATTTTATTAGAGATGTCATATTGACACATCTGGGAAAACCCGAATCTGAAAGCTCCCAGGTTTTCCCCACCCAAAAGAACGTTCAAGTCCCTGCCCATCACCCACATGTCCATCACATGGTACAGTCAATGCACCATCCCAACTGGAGATGCTTCCCAGTCACGCCACTCCAGGTGCAGGCTGAATGTCCTTGGCTCTCAAAGAAAGAAATGTTACTATGGATAGATATCCCCCGCAAGTCCCTGAAATTCCCCCCTCCCCATTTTCCCACAGCACTATGTGTGGCAGCCCTGAAGAATCAAAGAAAAAGATGACTTCCAGGCAGTGGTGAAATTAAAAAAAAATTACTACCGGTTCTGTGGGCCTGGCTTGGTGGGCATGGCAGGGGAAGGATATTGCAATATCTCCATTCCCACTCCACTCTGGGGCCAGTCAGAGGTGGTATTTGCCAGTTCTCTGAACTACTGAAAATTTCCGCTACAGTTCTCCAGAACCTGTCAGAACCTGCTGAATTTCACCCTTGCTTCCAGGGCTGACAATATGTATGCTAACAAGGCAGCAGCCACACCCCAACAATAATTAAATTAGTTAAACCCAAAGTTCTAGACTTGTTCCAACCTGATTCTTCAGGTAGGATTTAACCAACAGTGTGTTGTACTATATTTTCACTGTTCAGGCCAGGGGTGGGTTCCTGCCAGTTCTAACCTCTTCTATAGAAGAGGTTCCAGAAATGTACCATGCCGTTTAGAACCGGTTCCAGCTCCTTCCTCCCATCTGTCCATACCACGCTTGCCCCACCCACCACTCACTGATTGGCTGGCTCACCAATCGCACCACCCGCCTCTAAAAATCCTATCTAAACCTTAAAGTCTTAAAGCTGTCAAGTTTGAACATCCCTGGAGTTTTTTTTTCTAAAGGGTTAGGGGTGCAAGGGTCTTGTAGCTTGACAGCTTTAAGACTTGCATGCTTCAAATGCCAGAGTTTCTCAGCCAACACTTTGGTTGCTAAGCAAGTGCATTGTTAAGTGAGTTTCACCACATTTTACAAGTTGGCCATGCCCAGCCAGTCACATGACTGCCAAGCCACTCCCACTCGCTCACATTGTTGGCAAGCCACTCCCACCCAGTCACATGGCCAGCAAGCCTCTCCCACAAAGCAGGCCACACCTACAAAAGAGGTTCTAAAAATTTTTGAAACCCACCACTGGTTCAGGCCATACTTGGCTGCATTTTTCATAACACTTCTTCACGTACTGCTCTTTTGTTCATTCATCCTTCATTAATATGTTTTCTCACCATTTAAGTTAGACCTTAATCAAGTAAAGTCAGAAAGTATTTTCTAATCTCCTTCTCTCCCAATGTTTCTTTTTACCTGATTACCTTTAGAAACACATTTTATGTATTGTAATATAAATTGGTTCATTAGCATTTTCCATGATCCTACAGCTACAGAAACAAACATGTGCCCTAAATATTTTTCAGATGTAGCCCATTGTGAAAAGTGTCCAGATGATCAGCATTCCAATAAGAAGCGAGATCAATGTATTCCCAAAGTTATAACTTTCCTGTCCTATAAAGAAAACTTGGGTCTCACTCTAGTTCTCTTTGCCACTTCCTTATCCATAACTACTGCTTTTCTTCTGGGAATCTTCATTAAGTACCGAGAAACCCCCATAGTCAAAGCCAATAACCGGGACCTTACCTATATTCTTTTGATCTCCCTCCTACTTTCCTTCTTGACTTCACTTCTGTTCATTGGTCGACCCAAGAAAGTGACCTGTTTTCTTCGACAAACCACCTTCAGCATTCTTTTCTCAGTTGCTGTGTCTTCCTTACTGGCCAAGACTGTCATGGTGGTGGTGGCATTTCTGGCAACAAAGCCAGGCAGCAGAATGAGGAAATGGCTGGGGAAATCTCTGGCCACCTCCATTGTCTTGTCTTGTTCTGGGGTTCAGGTAGGCATCTGTTTCATATGGCTGAGAATTTCTCCCCCATTCCCAGATTCTGACCTGCATTCTCAACCAGGACACATTGTGCTGCAATGCAATGAAGGCTCAGTCACCATGTTCTATTCTGCCCTTGGCTACATGGGGTTTCTGGCTGCCATCTGCTTCTTCTTGGCTTTTCTAGCCAGAAAGCTTCCAGGTACCTTCAACGAAGCCAAATGGATTACTTTCAGCATGTTGGTTTTCTGCACTGTTTGGATTTCCTTTGTCCCCACTTACCTGAGTACCAAAGGGAAATACATGGTGGCTGTGCAGATCTTCTCCATCCTGGCCTCCAGTCTGGGATTACTGGGCTGCATCTTTATCCCTAAATGCTTCATTATTATCCTGAGACCTGACATGAACACCAGGGAGCATCTAATGATGAAAAACTAGGAGGGCTCCTGATTTTAGAAACTATTTTTGTGCAACTTACTGATGTTATAAAATAATATGCCTTGTAATTAATCTCCTTTGTAGGTATTCTAAACAATATTTGTCCATCGTGTTAGATCTGAATTATAACATCTAATTACAAGTAGTTTTTGGAGAATGACACTTATAAACTATTCAAAGGCAGGACTAGCTGTCCCAGTGACATGCTCATGAGCTAAGCACTTTGTCAGAGTTTTTGTTGCAACAGCACATCCAGCAAGCATACACAAGTAAATGAACTTCTGCAGGATTCAATTATATATAAGAAACTTCTTTATATGCAATACCATACAGCAGAATTAAGCATACAATATCAGGAACACAGAAGCAATATTCATAGAAGCAAGTCATTACAGAATAGAGAGAAACAGAGGCTAATATTGTACAGAGGTTGCAATGTTACAGAGGTCAAACCAACTTTTATACAGTTCAGCAAGTCTAAGCCACACCCAGACTCCAAACTCTTATGTCTCTTATGGCCCCATATAAACAAATACTATGTTTCAGTTTCCAATCAGTCCCCTTTGCCTGACCCGTTGCCATGTCTATTCCAAAAATCCCCATTGGCTGATCTGTTGCCATGTCTATTCCAACAAACCCCATTGGCTGACCTGTTGCCATGTCTACTCCAGTCTATAAAATCTCATTCATACTCTGACACACTTGGCAACTGGCTCTCACTAATGCCACATAAGTAAGTTGTCAGGCCTCCAGCCATATTCCTCTTGGATCTTTGGCCTGCCACACTTTCTATTATTCTACTATGCCTTTTCTATTGTGGGAAAATGGGAGTGGGGATTGTATGGAGCTAGATGCTATGTGACCAAAACAAAATTCATTTCTAGAAAACCAAGGTCATCCTTTGTCTCTGCATCTCTGCACCTGACCAATACTGGATGGGTGGAACTACCAGCATGGCAATGGCAGATTGGACCATGTATGGCCTGGTGGGTATGGGGCATGATCACGAACCTTCAACTGAGTGGGGAAAACTGGGAAACTTTCAGATTCAGGTTTTCCCAGATGTGCCAACATGGCTGTCTTAATAAATTGGAACTTTGAAAAATACTTGTCTTGAACTCTGATTTAATTTTGGATGCTATTTGGAACCCTGACATAAGTCACATCATCACCATTTGCAAGCTTTCTTTCTGGCCTCCCACAAGCAAATTTAACAGGGAAGCCACCAGGAAAGCTGATAAGTCACTTCCCACCACTTTTTCACCCAAGAGCTTCCTCGCTGATTTTGCAGACATAATTATCAATGTATTTGGCATTTTAGCAATGTCTCTGAGCTATATTTAGATAACAAAAAAAAGTTTAAAAATAATGCTTTGCCTATTCTGAAAGCCCAGTGCCCTAGAGCCTCCCACCCAAAAGAAGGGGAAGGAAGCCGAAAGGGTGAAGAGCATTGAATTGGAGTAAGACACAAATGATGTGGTGCAGCCTTCCCAGTTGGTTTTTTGGTAAAGGGGGCATCAAGGTTCTGACTGACGAACCCAACCAAAGCAAACATGATCGAGATTGTCCAAACTCCTTATGCAAAACTTTATTGAGTACATCATTTCGGCATGTTTGAAGCAGGGGAGGGTTTCAATTTTTTTTACTACCGGTTTAGTGGGCGTGACTAGATGGGGGGGCATGTGATGGAGTGGGCATGGCCAACTTGACATCACTCATGCACACTCAGTCACATGACCCCCTCACCAAGTCATACCCACCAAAATGGTGGGGAAAAGTTTTGATGGGGGGGGGGACTCCAGCCTTGCCGGAGGTAAGGGAGCACCTGTAAAAAAAAGGCCCCCAGGAACACTCTGCAGGCTTCAGCAGAGCTGAGGGAAGGCAAAAATGACCCGTTTCTGCAAGAAATGGGAGGAAAACAGACTGTTTTTCACAAAACCAGGGCATTTTTCCCTTCCCCCAGGACTGTTGAAGCCTGCAGAGTGCTTCTGGGGGCTGGGGGAAGGCAAAAAAAAATGCCTGTTTTTTTGCAAAAAATGGCCCATCTTTGGGACTCTGGGATTGGCATGCATTAAAAAAAGGATGTGTGTGTGTGTGTGTGTGTGTGTGTGTGTGTGTGTGTGTAGGGAAATATAAATATATATGTGTGTGTGTAGTATTTGTGCTGATAAATAAAGGGAGACTAGTATAGATCTATTTCAAGCTATTTAGCTCTCATCAGCTAGCTATATATATTTCAATGAAGAATATTCTGCATATGTGCAGAATAGAAAATAAAGATGGTGGCACCCAGGATAGAACCAGTATGGTCATATGTCTGGCCATGTTACTACCTATTTGGCGGAACTGGTCCAAACTGGTAGGAACCCACCTCTGGTTTGAAGTCAAAACTGGACCTAGATCTTTCCCACACTAACCCCTATAGTTAAAGTTCAAATTCTAACAACCCTCCCCCACTTTATCTCAGGTCACATTGTCCAATGCGGTTTCTGGATTTTGTTATGGGAAAGTCTTTTTTGGCTTCTATAAGCACCTGATGAAATGCCCTTGGGTCTCATGCTGATATCTTGATGCCTGGGCCATTTTCTATCTCCCTCTCTCATAGTTTGTTGACAAGCTGAGTGTTAACCCTGAAGCATATCCAGCATATTGTTCTTTGAGGAATATACCTGCCTCAGAGTTCTGCTTTCAATGGGTGCATTACTTGGAACATTGACACTGAGATAGTTGCAACAGCAAAAGAGTTTTGAAGTTTGACAGGAGGGGTCTCTAGATTGTCTATAGCTCTTAAGGCAGCCATTTTGTCAGGATGCCTCTCACCTCTTCTGTGAATATATCCACCAATCTGAAAACTTTATCAAAAAATGGTTATGGTTGTTGATGCTTGAAGCTAAATGGAAATGATGGGAAACCAGACTAAAAGAGCTTGTGATGTTTTCCTTAATACAGAAGCATTCCAATTGTGGCTTCAGTGCAAATACATTTTCTGCAACATAGTCCCTGCTTGAAATCCCAGCCCATGATCTTGGTGTCCCAGGAGACATCAAAGAATGAAATAAGATTGATTTGGCATGATCTGTTTTTAATAAACCCATGCTGGCTACTAGTTATAACTTTATTTGCTTCTATTCCAAGCTTAATGGAGTTTTTTACATCCTTTGCTGCAGTGGTGGGGTTCTAATATTTTAACAACCAGTTCTCTGCCCTAATGACCAGTTGGGAAGGCGTGGCTTGGTGGTCATGTGACTGGGTGAGTGTGGCCAACTCAACATCACTCATGTCGATGGGCGCGTCATCTTAGCTGTTACAATGTAATAAGGGTTAACCGAAGAGGCAGTTTCTGTAAGCAGGGAATAAAGATTAGGCTAGAAACAACACCGGAATGTTTCCTTCCTGCCTTCCTTACAGGATTAGTGAAGTGGGAAAAAACAAAAGGAGATTTCTTCCAACAACCGGTTCTCCGAACTGCTTAGAAAGTTACCAACCAGTTCTCCTGAATGGGTGCAAACTGGCTGAATCCCACCACTGCTTTGCTGTCAGTTTTCTCATGTTTCACTTGCTGCAAATTTTTAACACTATATATTTAAAGATAAATACTGACACTTTTCCCAGAGCTTCACCAATGAAAAAAAAAAACAAAACACGACTGTGATTTTTACAATTACAAAGGATGTAATACTACTGCCATGTTCTTAACCTGCTCCTGTGCAATAACTGGAGAATAGCTGGATGCTGTATTTTTCATAGTATAAGATGCATCGGAATATAAGACACATCAAGATTATGAAGAGGCAAATTTTTAAAAAAGTTTTGCACTCTACAGATCTCCCCAAAACGGCCTGCTTTTTTGTGAAAACGCCCCCTCCCCTTTTTTAAAAAAGGGCATGCATAACTTTTAGGAGGCTTATAAAGTGTTCCTGGAGGCTGGGTGGGGGCAAAATTGAGCAAAAACAGCTCATTTCTTCGCTCATTTCTGCCCTCCCTAGCACCCAGGAGCACTCTGAAAGCCTCCTAAAGGCTATACATGGCCATTTGGGTGAAGGAGGCGGGGTTTCAGGAGGCAAAAAATGCTGTATTCAGTGTATAAGACACACCCAGATTTTCAGCCTCTTTTCTGAGGGAAAAAGGTGCGTCTTATATTCCGAAAAATATGGTAGCTGAAGAAACCATGCTGCAGGGATTTGCCAGTGTGACTATATGTATTTTTATGCTACACTATGAGGCAAAATTAAAGAAGCTGTTCCAAAACACTGCATGGAAGTGAGAACTTTCCTTACTGTTAAATTAAGAACACTGTTTTCATGGTAGCTGCACTAAATGCCTCTGGGAAGCTCCCAAGTGGGACCTAAAGGGTGATTTTTGCTCCTCTTTTTAGAATCTCAAAAATAAGTTTCTAGTGCAAAAGGGGGTCAAACCTTCTTCAATTGTTTGCTTCCTGACTCTTAAACTGGAAGTAAGCCCTTGAGTCTGGCAAATTTGTTTTGTCCAACTGCACACCACTGTTGCGACAGTCATTCCCAATTCCCTTTCTAATTATTTAAAACATGATTATTTTTTCTATGTTGAACAAGGTTTATGAGATTTCCACTACCACCTTTAGTTATAAAGCAATAATGTGACAAGAAATGGAATATACAATGACTGAAGATGTGACCTGTTAAGTACTTCCTTTTCTGATCAAAGCAAAGAAAGGGATAGAATTAGACAGGGACTATGTCAGTGTGAAATTTCAGATTCCTTCTCCAGACCCAGGCTGGATCATCTTCAATGCAATTATCTTCTTTTGTGAGCTCTGAGATTCAATTAAAAAAGAAATTATAGGAAGACTCTGCATTAATGTATGTCAAATGTTGCTGCTGGAAATACATCTCTTTCTGCTTCTGCTTCTCTTATAAATTCCCTGTGCCATGATGCTGATGAAATGTCCATTCAAGGCAATAATAGAAGGAAAGAAGGAGTTTAATTATTATAAGCCAGGAGACTACCTGATTACTGCGATA